TACATTTCGAGGCGTTTTCGAAGGATTATGTCAGCACCATACCTGCAAAGCGAATCACCTACGAGCATGTTTGTTCATTTGTCATGGAAATCTTGCGGAAAATCAACAAGGCAAAAGAAATTTCTCAAACAATTCTTTGGGGAATTACCCATACGAACGCGAACAGGTTACACTATTTGAATGAACAAACTTATCAACAAGTTTTGCTTGCCTTTGAAACATCAGTCTTGAAATAATGAAAAGTTTGGATATGTAATTTGAATAGGACAGAAGTTTTTTGAGAGAAAAAATTGCAAAATCATATAGGACATACCTTCCAACAGTACCATTGTCAACCAATAAGAAATAGGAATGTCGATTGTTCAGTACTGCAAAACGACCTTTCGGTGAAAACGAATGTGGATGGTACGGTACAACAGTGTCCTGAAACATCCAGCATGATTAATTCCTCAAATTGACATCTCAACCATAGATTCTCTTTTGCATCATTTGAAATCAATCTTGAAACGGTAGAATATCGCATTCAGAGCTACGAGAGATATTGGTGGCACATTCAAGTTTAAGATGGGAGAACGCATGCATAAACTTATTGAGGAAAACTGGACGCGACAGTGGTAGTGAATTAACCGGCGATTTTTTCAATTGATCGTGCATCGCAGGCAGTGACTTGTGATGTCTTTCCGAGCGATTGTTCTTAATGCTTAAATGCTAATGATTTTTCTCGACACCGTTTTCGTCGTGGTTTTCCTTAGCGCTTTNTACTAACAATTTTAGATCGCAAGGTACCACACCCCTCGAGCGCAGCTGCTACATGTCGAACAACACCCGCATTTATGCCTACAAACAGAAATCAGTTTAAAATACTGGATGGAGCAAGCGAATTTCTTATACGGTTCTTGAATTATGGATGAATGTATCCGGAGAAAATGATTTCAACTTCCGCAGTCATGGACTCAACAATCAAGGGTTCCGAATGAACGAATTGAATTCCCAAGATAACTTCTGATTCAAATATGTTGTACTACGAAACGGAAAGTTTTCTGCATCTGGAATGACTATTTGAAATAGTTAAAACAATATCTCATTGACTATTATATGATATCCCACTGGCTAAGGATTCAAGTGTAATGAGACTTTGAACTTTATCACAAACCCGAAGTGATAATCCATGCACCGGTAGTTTTGGCTGCTTTCAATAGACCCTTCCGAAAAACTCGTGCTAGTTTTGGCTGAAGACTGAAAGTTATCATTGATTATTGGCATGTTCATGATCATCTGTTCATCACAAATAATGGCTCTTTGTGAACTTCTAATGGAACAGCATTTGATTGAATTCGACCTTAGTCTCATGGTAAGAACTGGAAGTGTGTTAAGGTTTTTAAGAGTTAAAATCAAGGATATAGATGAAAATAGTCCAACCTGGTCAAAACGTTCAAATGAATGAACAGTGCGATTCAGAGTTGAGAGAATATAATGTGAATGGGCTTTCAGGAATGGCAAAGGAGAATGGAATAACAAATTTTACTTACTCAAAATTAGTGATTCCACCATGAACCGTAATGATCAATTTCGGTGGAGGCATTTGCCAAATATTTTCAAATAAATACATGATATCAGCAGGGTCTGTTTCGACGTTCAACCGTAGATATTGCGCTTTGTAGGGATGCGGTCCACCTGAAAGCATTTCACGATGATGCGATCAGTTCTGCATAAAAAATATCATTCAGATAGAATGAATTCGAACAGTAATACGTATAATTTTCATTCAAATTACAAAAGTCGCATAAAATGCACGGCGATTTTAGTCGGAGCAAGTCGTCTTATTCAAGGGATTGGAGTGAGTAATTTAGAAGGAGCAAAAACATTTAAAGGGCATCCAGGTTACCTTGGAACTCGATAGTGCCATAACTATCAGTAGGTAGAACGGTTGTGTGCTTGCGGATTGTCCACTTCTCAGAGAGCGATCGCACGGTACGCCGTCCCTAGAATGATATTATCGTTATTGTTACAGTCATTATCACTGCCATAGTTATGACGATAACTGTTGGTGCGTTCATTCAATTGAAACTNATTGAAACTGACATTATTAGGTCCGGCCTCGCTATCGGCTCCAGTCATCTCCATTTCTTGATCTTCATCACTCTTCTGTAATCTCCTTTCATTATACGGTACTGTGAGATGATTGTTTGCATCTGTTTTTGATGACTGGTGCTGTTGAATTGCTTCCGCGGAATGCAAATGCTTTAGACGGCCACAACCACATCTTAAACGAATACTTTCAGCACATTCTATCGACATCTTTATCAAATTATTGATGATAAACGTTCAATTACTCGGAAATGTTATCAGTTCAAAATGGCAGATGAGCAGTGGTACAGAATCTTTGAATGTTGAACAAATTGCTGTGAAACGACAATAGACCGAAAACTTTTTGATAGTATGGTTCAAACGAAGAAGGTATGAATAACTTGTTTGGGTATTTGCTGGATGGAATGAATTTAGCACATTCTCGTCGCTTGAAAACTTGCTCAATCCAGTTGTTGTTCCGTAAAGACTGAAAATATCATTCATTTATACTCCAATTTCGCACTTTCATCAAACTGATTGACGAGAATGGAATTAAGATACCAATGAACTCGACGCTCTCGCTCTCACATACATCGATCCAGAAATGGACGGCAGTCCACCGGGATTATTCAGTGTGTTCGTTGGACAATTGGCCATGTGCACGTCGTCCTGAAATAACCGAAAATTACCACCAAAACTACACTGCTTGAAACAATCTGTTTAATACACCCGGACAAAATTCGATGAAGCTTCCGAATGATACTAATTTTGATAATGATTATAAGCATTCTGTAAACGAACTCAGGGAATGACTTTCACAACTGCCGTTGGGACAAAACTGTAACGTAATACTAGACGGTTACTATTAAAATGTTACTGTTTTCAACAGTGTTCAACTAAAAGCGACGGCATCAAAATTTTTGTTATTGTTTAGGCTAACGTTAATATAGCATTTCATGATGTCCATCAACATCTGCTATTTCTGCTTTACAAAATAAGCAGTGAAACTCGCTGAAAAAGTATGAAATGTTATTCAAAGACGAACATTTACATATA